AAACTTTATTTATATAGCACCTTCCAACAATGCCTTGCATCAACCAAAGTGCTTCACAAGGTAAAACAAACACCAAGTCATAATAAATCAGTACAAGTTAAAAACAATTACAATAAAAGAAAGAAAGAAAAAAGATATATAAGATGCTAAGAATTAACCCCTCTGGTCGGGTCAGAACACTGACCTGGGCCTCGGGTCGGCGCCCCTCCAGGCTCCAGCCTCCTGACGAGCAGAACGACTCCAGCTTCTGCCTCATGACCATCATCCACTTCTCCATGTTCAGCTGGTCGCCATGAAAACGCTCGTGGTCCGAGACGACGTCCTCGGCCTCCTGGACTTTAACCTGAACACAAACATATATTTTATTTATTATACCTTCAAAGAAAAACAAGAAAAATACATTTTATGTAAATCTAAGCTGTACATTTGCATCTTGTCTTAGGTTTACTTCCTGTTTTCATGAAGAATCTTCATTAAAGCAAATTTAAACATCAAGTTTCTGATGAAATCTTCAGGATCTGTTTGATGTTTCAGTTTGAATCTTTGTTAAAACTGATAAAAACAGCAGCAGTTACAGGAAATAAAGAATCTAAGGTGATCAGCTGATCTGATRCTGCTGAAGACAAAACTCAGGGCATAAAAACCCACAGACAGCTGCCTGACTGATGAAAGGTGGTCTCACCATGACCCTCCTCTGCAGCTCGGTCCARTCAGCACACAGCTTCTCGTACTGAGTCCTGCCGCTCTGATCGGAGGACACCARTGTCTCCAGCGCCGTCAGCTGGACGTCCCCGTCCTGCAGCTCCCTCAGAAGAACCTGTGGACACATTAAGACCAGGTCACTCCTGACAGACTCTGCTCAGGGTTTGATGGACCTAAAGCTTGTCTTTGATCTGGATCTACAGGAGACCTACCACCAGCTGGTCCAGCTGGCTCTTCTTGGCCAGGATRTCYGGCTGGAGGRCGTCAGCTGTCTGAAGACGCTGCCTGAACGCCGCCAACTGGGACAGAACCAGCCGGTACGCTTCATCAAAGTCTTTGGTTCTGGAAATTAAACCCTGAGAGAGAAACAAGTTTCARAGCTTTATCTCTGTTCCTTATTTGTACTTCCTGTTGTGTCTTAGCTCCGCCCACTAGAGAGACGTGGAGAGAAGAGACAAGGACACACAGGAGGAGGCAAGGACTGAGGACACATGAACAGAGGAAAAAGAGACGATAAACACAGATAAAACAGATGAAACAAAGACATACAAGAAGACAAGGACAAGAAGACATAGGAGACAAGGACAGAGGACATAAAGACAGAGGACCTGAAGGCATAAGGACCTGAGGACATAAAGACATAAGGACCTGAGGACATAAAGACATAAGGACCTGAGGAAATGAAGACAAAGGACCTGAAGACATAAGGACCTGAGGACACAAAGACAGAGGACCAGAAGACATAAGGACCTGAGGACATAAAGACAGAGGACCAGAAGACATAAGGACCTGAGGACATAAAGACAGAGGACCTGAGGACATAAAGACAGAGGACCTGAAGACATAAGGACCTGAGGACATAAAGACAGAGGACCTGAAGACATAAGGACCTGAGGACATAAAGACAGAGGACCTGAAGACATAAGAACCTGAGGACATAAAGACAAAGGACCTGAAGACATAAGAACCTGAGGACATAAAGACAAAGGACCTGAGGACATAAGAACCTGAGGACATAAAGACAAAGGACCTGAGGACAGAGAATCTGAACACAGTTGATCTGGACAGAGGACCTGAAGACAGTAGATCTAAACACAGTAGACAGTGGACAGAGGACAGTGGACCTGATGACAGTGGACAGAGGACAGAGGACAGTGGACCTGATGACAGTGGACAGAGGACAGAGGACAGTGGACCTGATGACAGTGGACAGAGGACAGAGGACAGTGTCTCCAGTGTCTCTGTACCTCCAGACGGTTCTTCCTCTGCAGCAGCTGACCATGCAGCAGCTCTCTGGTTCTGACGGCGGAGCTCAGCTCCTCCTGAAGCCCGTCGGACCTCTCAGGACCAAACACCGAGTCCAGCAGRTCCCCCTTGACCTGCAGCAGACTGAGACGCTCCTGCAGCTGGACACTGTCCTTCAGGAGACCCTGATGGAGAAGACACCATTAACACCATTCAGTTCAGACAGAACCCAGCTGAAGGGGGTTCTGTTGGACCCACAGACCAGATCCTGACCGGGTTTTGACAGTACCTGGATCCTCTGCAGCAGAACGGTGATGCTGGGGAAGTCGGAGACATTGTTGGACGCCTCCATCACCTGAGAGACRGAGGAGCTCCACTGAGAGTAGAGCAGCAGGGGGTCCTGCAGGACGGTCCTCAGCTCCACCTCGGACTCAGAACAGAGCCGATTCAACCGGACCTTCACACTGAGACACACCAGAACCAGACATGAGGACACAGAACCCAGGAGGGACCGGTCTGACCCACAGAACCTCTAAAGATTTCGAGTGGGTGCTGGAGTCTGGTGGGTGGTCGGTTGTGGCGGGGCTCCTGGCTCTCTCCCAGGTCTGCTCTGGGGGGCAGGTGTGCGGTTCTTCCTGCACTGGTGCCCCTGGGGGCTCCACGATGGGGTCCCTCTCGGGGACTTTCTCYCTTATGTCTGCTTCGGGTCTTGGGGGTCGGGTCTTTGGGTCTYCACAGTCACTATTAAAWGCACGGTTCCCACACCTTGGTCAACGTCAAATTCAAGGAACTTTTAAGGACTTTCCAGTACCAATTCCCTCAAATTCAAGAACCACGCACAACGGCAATTACCTCCTGCTACTGCAGAAAGTTACCAATAAAGTTTAATATCATGTAAATTCAATGAAAAACTCAACAACATAGAAGTTGTTGAGTCAGAATCAATGAAAGAAAGTGGACTAAATGTTTACCCTACATTTATATCTACAATTCATAAACATGTAATTATGTCCTGGGAGGTTCAGCAGCTCAGTTAGGGAGGAGGGGATGTGAACAGGTCCAGATGCTCAGTGAGGACAGGAGGAGCTGTGGTGCTCTCACCTGGGCTCAGAAAGAAAGACCCGCCCTACTCTGCTCTGATTGGCTAAAACTATGACTATGGCTCACGTTATTTGTTAAAACCTGAGTTATCCACTGCAACAAATGTAAGATTATTATTATTATTATTATTATTATTATTATTATTATTATTTCACAGATGATGAAAATCAGTCATGTGAACAGAGAACTTCAATCCCCCAAAACGTTCAAGGACTTTCAAGTACAAGTGTAATTTTTGGCTGTTTTCACAAACTTTCCAAATCATTTTTTCAAATTTACAAACTTTCAAGGATTTCAAGGACTCATGGGAACTCTTTAAATATGAGGCATAATGTGTTATTTTTTATTTTTGATGTTTTATTTTCACTATTTGTATTACATAGGGTTCTGTATGTTGTGTTCAGGATTAAATGCAGCTAAATAAACCAGTTCAAAAGTAAAGGTGCTTTATTTGTCATCAGTGCATGTTCCCATGCAAGGATGAAATTTGTGCATTTGACCCATCACACATGAGAAACACCCAGGTGGAGCAGCGGGCAGCTGTGTATTAAAACAGCAGTTCAGATGTGAACAATCCAAGTTTCTGTTTAAACTTTGAACGATGTTTTAAGGTGAAGTTTGAGCTGCAGAGATTCAAACGTTTCATCAGCGTCTGTCTCCATGTCAGCAGCATCCTGTTAGAGTAAACATTAAACCACGTTACCTGTGATGCTCTCTAACAACGGCCAGGACATCGTTAGACAGGTGATGAGAGTCCTCAGAGAACCTGAAGAGATCCTTCAGCTGAGACTTCAGCAGCTCCACCTGAGACTCTTCACCTGCCAGAGTCTTCCTCACGTCCTGAAACACAAAGATAATCAACTCCAACATTTTAAATTAAATCAAGTTTCAATTAAATCAGGTTTAAATTAAATCAGGTTTAAATTAAATCAGGTTTAAATTAAATCAAGTTTAAATTAAATCAATTTTAAATTCAGGTTTAAAATAAATCAAGTTTAAATTAAATCAGGTTTAAATTAAATAAATCATCCGTCGTACCGAGTACTTCCTCCACTGGCCCACCATCTGCTCCTCGCTGGACTCTGAGCAGGTCCCGGACTCCTGGGTGTCCTCCAGCTCCTGGTCCACTCCGTCCAGCATCTCTCTGAGACGTCTGATGTCCTCGCCCAGCTTCAGGCAGCGGGTCAGGTACTGACTCTGAGAGTCCAGTTTGCAGCGCAGACCATCCTCGGCCTCACAGAGACCCTGTCTGAGACGCTGCCAGCCCAGCCTCAGCTCCTCCGTGTCCTCCTGGACCGCCTCAGACCCCGCAGGAGACGTGTGGACCCGGACCACCTCCGCTACGTCTTCAATGTGCTGCAGGGTCTTCTCCTCCGAGGCCACGGAGTCGTCCAGAGTCTGAGACACAAGGACACGTCAGGACAGGTCAGGATGTGGACACGTCAGGACCAGGACACATCATGACTAGGACACGTCAGGACCAGGACACGTCATGACCAGGACACTTCAGGACCTGGACACGTCATGACCAGGACACTTCAGGACCTTGACATGTCAGGACCAGGACACTTCAGGACCTTGACATGTCAGGACCAGGACACATCATGACCAGGACACGTCAGGACCTTGACACGTCAGGACCAGGACACGTCAGGACCTTGACATGTCAGGACCAGGACACGTCAGGAACTGGACACGTCAGGGCCAGGACACGTCAGGGCCAGGACACGTCAGGGCCAGGACACGTCAGGGCCAGGACACGTCAGGGCCAGGACACGTCAGAACCAGGACACGTCAGGACCTAGACACGTCAGGACCTAGACACGTCAGGACCTTGACACGTCAGAACCAGGACACGTCAGGACCTTGACACGTCAGGACCTNGTCAGGACCTAGACACGTCAGGACCTTGACACGTCAGAACCAGGACACGTCAGGACCTTGACACGTCAGGACCTAGACACGTCAGGACCTAGACATGTCAGGACCAGGACAAGTCATGACCAGGACAAGTCATGACCAGGACACGTCAGGACCTAGACAAGTCAGGACCAGGACACATCATGACCAGGACACGTCAGGACCTAGACAAGTCAGGTCCTAGACACGTCAGGACCAGGACAAGTCATGACCAGGACAAGTCATGACCAGGACACGTCAGGACCTAGACAAGTCATGACCAGGACACGTCAGGACCTAGACAAGTCAGGACCAGGACACATCATGACCAGGACACATCAGGACCAGGACAAGTCAGGACCAGGACACGTCAGGACCAGGACACGTCAGGACCAGGACACGGACACGTTATGTTCAGGACATGTCAGGACCATGTCAGGACCAGGACACGTCATGACCAGGACACGTCAGGACCAGGACAGGTCAGGACCATGTCAGGACCAGGACAGGTCAGGACCAGGACAGGTCAGGGCCACGTCAGGACCAGGACAGGTCAAGACCACGTCAGGACCATGTCAGGACCAGGACAGGTCAGGACCACGTCAGGACCTGGACAGGTCAGGACCATGTCAGGACCAGGACAGGTCAGGACCAGGACAGGTCAGGACCATGTCAGGACCAGGACAGGTCAGGACTAAGACTACATGGAGGAAACATCTGTAAACCTGAGGCTCCATCAGGTCCAGTTCTGCTGGTCTCACCTTTAAAGCTCTCAGTTTGTCCTCTGCGCTGTGGTCCCGGTCCATCAGCTCAGTCAGCTCTTTGGTCTTGGACAGGAGCCAGACCTGGAACTCCTGGGTGCAGGTGTTGAACCTCTGGTGCTCGTCGCTGATCTTCTGCAGCAGAACCAGACGCTCCTAACAGGACAGGAAACACGTCTGGGTCAGCGCATCGTTCGGACCTGAACCTCTCAGGTAGATCTGAGCGTCCCACCTTGGCCCGGTCCCGCACGTCATTGTAGTCCTCCTGCAGTGCCTGCTGGGCCCGTGGGTCCACACTGGGGTCCTGGGTCCTGCTGTGCAGCGCCGCCGCCTCGTCCAGCAGCCGGTCCAGCAGGGCCTCCTGGTTCTGGATGTCGCTCAGCTGCACCTGCTGCTGGTCCACCTGCCACAGCTTCTCCTTCGGGCCCAGCTGCAGCTCCAGGTCCGTGTCCASGCTGCGGCGCTGCTTCAGCAGCCACAGCTGGAACTCCTCATACGCCTTCAGGTACTCGCTCCAGTGAAGCCACACCCACTCGATCCGGCTGAGGGGACACGGGCCAGAACTTTGAGCCCCATGCCCCCAGAACCAGAGGCAAAACAGCATTTACCGTTTTCTATTTCTTTTWACTRCTGTTAACTTCAGATCTGTCAGTTGAACCTGGACATGTTTGGTTTCAACAGAAAGCTAAGAATCCTGGCTAGAAGCTATTTTTACATCCACCAAACAGTTCAAATGTCAGACAGTTGAATTAGAAAGTAAACAAAATGGGATTGTTGCAAATCTGAAATAAATTATAACAAATCTGTGAAGGAAGTTTTTTTTGACATTTGTTTTTAAAGCAAGTCCAAGCAGAAACCTAAACAGGTTGTAAAGTGTGTTGAAAGTTGTTGTTTTTTTCACTTGATTTTAGGTTAATACGATCGAACTGAAGTCAAATATAATTTCTCATTATTTTATATAATATATTTGT